CTGTATGTCAAATTCTTTTCCCCTGCTTGGGAAGTTTTCTGCCATCACTTCTGTGAACAGTTTTTTATGTCATCTGCACTCTCTCCTGTTTTTTCTTTGACTCCAATCAGTCTTATGTTATTCTTCTTTGCATTGTCTAGCAGCTGCTGGATTGATTTCTCATGGTCCCTCACTATTTTAAAGAAGTTTTTCTTTTCCTGATTAAAAATTGCAATCTTATCTTCTGTATCTGAAATTCTGTCCTCACATTGGCTCATTCTGTTGCATAAACTTTCAATTTAGTTTTTAATCTCCTGGAAATCTTTGCATCTGTTTTATGGATTCAATTTGTTTCCTATGGTGGGATTCCATCATGTTCCTCAGCTCCTCTACTTTTTTATCTGTGTCCTCTCTAGATTTATTAATCATGTCTTGCACTTTGGGCAGAATCTCTGCTATTATCTGAGAAATTATTTCTGATTTCATTTTTTCCAGAGCCTCTTTCTTTGCCAGTTTACGGAGTCCAGGTGATTGAGTATTAGATTGTTCCATGTTGTTTTCCTTTGGGGTTGCTTCAGGTTATCTAGAAGTCTGGTTTTGAGACTTGTTACATTTCTCCTCTTTTCAGTGGGTGTGTGTGTGTGTGTGTGTGTGCCTGCGCAGGCTCACGCAGGTCACCTCAGTGCTGGGGGTGGTGTATGGTGGCCCAGAAGGTTCACCTCCTCTATGCTGTGGGTGGCTATGCTCCTTGGTGCTGCAGTCTTTGGATTCCTTAGCTAAATTTATCCTTTGAAACCACCAAAACTATCTTCTTACAGCTAAAACTACACATAATTCTGACAAGAAATATCAGACTTATTGATAACCTCCATCAGTAGAGGAGTCTAAGAGCTAACTTTTCACAATCACTATTCTAGTCCCTTAAGAGCAATGTCCCTTAAGAGCATGACTCTTTTCCAAATCTGCCTTTCCATTCTTGTGATCCTGCTTTGATTTTGTATGGTTTAAGTTTTTGGAAAATTTGCTTATTCTCTCCTAGAAGCTGCCAAACTCCAAGTGATCATGCAGATGGAACTAACAACAAATGTGCCAGGCTCCTTTTAGTGGGATCCACCTGATCAACCTGGTGAAGGGAGTTCATAACTGCTAAACTGCAACATGACTTCTATTTAAGGCCCATTAGATTAGTTCTCTGGAGAAGGCTCCTGACTGTGGTCTCCCCTATACCAACCCTTCTCAGTTTGAATCGGCTAGATGGAAACTATACTCCTTCTCCCCGAACTGCAGTTAGGGATACTTCTTCGGGTGGGTGGAATATTATAGATGTCTAAATTAGGTAGAAATAGTATAGGCAGTCAGATAGGGCTAGGCCCTCAAATGATTCAGTGCAGAAGATGAAAACACATTAGAACTGTGGCTGGAGGCACATCTGAAGATTAATCACAATGGCCAGATTTACATACTTCCCTAAGGGATAAATTTAAATTTGAGATTATTGGTAGCACCCTTTTGAGATTTCCATATAAATAAACCATTATCTCATTAGAGGTGGACCATCCTCTCCCACACACTAAGACTAAGACTAAAGACAAGACTGAGACTATAGATTATTGACCAAGGTTAATGATGTCATCCATATCCCCTTGCTACTGTTGTATCAATATAGCCAAACAGCTATACTTATAATCTTATTTAGTATAGTTAGAAAGGAGTTGAGTCATTCCCTTTTTTTCATTCAACTGTAAATGCCACACCATCCTAATGATCATCTGGGCTTAAATTTAGGACCACTCTAATGATTACCCAGGCTTAAGGTTAGGACCACCTAATGATTATCCAAGCTTAAAGTTAGGACCACCCTAATGATTATCGAGGCTTAAGCTTAGGAGGTTGCACAGATTGCTAACATCAGACAGAGAGACAACGAGAGGCACCTTGGATCAGAGGTGTCTGATTTATTAATACTGGAATCCTGAGATATCAAGGACCCCTTTTGTCCCCTTTCACGCTTGAGCCCTATTTCCCCTTCCCATTTGAGTATCTTTTTCTTTCACCCTCTTTCTATTTGCCCTTCTCCCTGTTCCTGTTACCATCCCATGATCTTCAATAAATGTAGCTACCTACTACATACTATGAGGTGTATGGTTGGAAATTCTTTCTTTGTTGTACATAAGATATTGGATTATTTTTGGCCCACTCAACTGTAACATATTGGTTGATTATAATTTTGACCCACATTGTATTCACTTCATAATTGTGCTCTATAAACTTTCTTAGAAAAGTGGACTCACTGGCAACTCATTTGGGACACCTTCTGTCTCTCAAGAGCTAGTCGTATTCCCTAATAGATTTTTCTACTCTTAAAAAAAAATCACTTTTTTCTGAGAAACTTCTCTGATCTCAGCTTCTATTCCTTCTTCTGCCCATGTGGAAGTAGTATCCTCCTCTCAGAGTTCGCCAAACTCTTTGAACTACGTCTATCAGCATAACATGCCATTATTCTGTAATTATATTTGTCTCCTCTACTGGGCAATCAGCTTCTTGGATACAAGGAACATGTTCTAGCTCTTTATATATGTCTACTTTCCTGGTATATACAAACATTAACAAACACTTGTTGAATAAATAAATGAGTGCTATATGGCATTATGATTTGTACTACCTTTTGGTTCCTTACCATATTATATACACCTTTTAGAATTCTTGGATTATATTTAGTTTCCACAGAAACCATGTAGAAAAAATTCTGGCAAGTACTATAATTTATTCAGAAGTTCCTCTCTGTTCAGTTGTGGGCTTGGCTTTTTTGGGAAACTTTCATGAGTAGAGTTTATGATGCCTATCTGTGCTCCACCTCTACTGGCTGCCTACAGCTCCCAGAGGTAGGAACTCCTTCTTACCTGTCATTAACAGTCTTGGTATTTTCCAGTTGTCTACACAAGAGCTTGGCAATGGTGGTAAAGCTGTTGCTCATGCGGAAGATGTCCCTGCTCTGAGGACCCAGGATGGAGGAGAAGGTGTCAGTGATGCTCTTGATCTCTAGCAGGAGAATATGGTGAAATGAATGCTCCATGTTGGCCAGCTGGCTCACCAGGTACACCACGCAGCTCCTGGCTCTCACCTGCCAAGACCAATAAAGGAAAAAAAAACAAAACGAAATCAGAATCCCACAACTAGCAGGTGACAATTACATACAAAGTTAACTGAAGGGACTAGTCACTGCTAAATATGTAATAAGTTTCATTCATAGCTCCTCTGAATCTGCTTCTTTGAGGTTTTACATCCCCACAAACACCAATTTGCAAGACAAACATAAAAAGCAACATTTTCCCAGTTACTATTTTTTTTTTGTTTTGTTTTGTTTTTGCCTTGCTGGGGATTGAACCTAAGGCCTCAGAGGTGCCAGGCACTGAGCTACATCCCCAACCCAAGTGACTCCTTTCTTAACAATATGAAAATATTCTTATTAACCTATCTTAACATGCCAAAACCTCTCAACTTCATTAGTGATCTGAACCCATACATCACCTTTTCCAACTATGTGACTTGCTAACTGCCCCTGCATGGGAAGGGATGGTCAATAGTCTTAAAGTGAACCTTGACCTGACACTCAACCCAGCTGGGTGTTAGATGATGGCCGCAAGTCCTACTGAATGCAACATTTACCTCATTTTTCCAGGGTATTCTCATGCATTTGTTCATATTTCAACATATTATGTACCTGGAAAAAGTGAGATTTCATTATCTAGCTTTAATCAAGTTAATTCTTACGAGTAATTGAAATAAGTTCCTTCAAAGAAATAAAGGTAATATGAATATAGTGCCGGCATTTGTGAAAATAACAACAAAAAGTGGATCAGGAGACATCTATAAAAATGTAAATTCTTCATAAGACATACTTTGAGGATCTAAGCCAAAATGTTGAGAAGTTATGAAAAAGAATAATTCAAAATTACCAAAAGCTTACTTGAAACGCAGATTTGTGTCCAATGGAAATATTAATACATCCCAATAAACACAAACTAGGAAAAGAATAGCATTTCATCTTTAATTTCTTTTAAAATCAGCCCTACCGAGGTCGTGAGTCGTGCAGAACACGCCGAATCAGCCCGTGCCCTGGCAACAATCCACTGGACCCCCCCCCCCGGCTCTGTACAGCCACCTCGTTCCACACTACAAAGACGCAGAGGACACCAGACCACCAGACCATGGTACTGAGTCATGCTGCTCCCAGTCCAGAGGTAGGGGCTTCTGAGCCCCATCCCACTGCTCCTGGTCCAGAGGAAGGGGCTTCCTGGCCACCATCTCACCTGCTGCTCCCAGCCCAGAGGAAAGGGCTTTGGGCCACCTTCTGTCTCGCTGCTCCTGGCCCAGAGGAAGGGGCTTCCGGGCCACCATCCCTCCCA